ACAGGGCTTAGCATTAGTAAGAATGTCTAGGAAATGTTCACTATCAGCCCAAGGGCTTTCTTAGAGACTGCTGAAAGGCCTCACAAGAGAACTCTCTCCCTCCATTGCTCACTTTTTCAAAGCCTCACTTTCTACACCACTTCCTAAAATACAGCAACACCCTCTTCATTATCAACATCAGAAGACTTTGCTGTATGAGAATCCATTGACTTTTCTGACATTAAATGGCATACTAATATAAATGATTATATTAACTACTGTTACAATCAATTCAGGTCAAGGTTCTAAGTTGCAAAACACCAGTCTGTATTAGAGATTCTTTTCATAAAAAAATGTCAATTAAATCTTTAATGAGGCTGCATCATGGTTTTGTTACACTCTTCGATAGCATTATTTTAAAAAATCAAGGCATCCACTGTATGACCAATTCTGTACATGGCTCTGTTTTGCTCTCCATAAGAGGACCCCAGGTTGCTTAGGACTTTAAGCTATAAGAAGATGACATTTGTATCACTCTTCTTTTATTTTTTGGATGGCCTGTACTTCTTTTTTTCCTCTTTGTATTATTATGCTCACTTTCCCTGTGTAAGCTCATTCACAAAATAATTTTGGAAGAATGTCAATAAATGCTTTTGGTATTTGTTCTAAAATTCAGAACACAGAACAAATTATAGCCCAGATTGCTTCTGCCATACTGGTAGAAGTTATGAGATTTATTCTCTGGAAAAGATGAGCCTCAGGAAATATGAGGAAGAAGAAATATTGAGCAAAGAAGGGGAATGAGAGAAAGTCTGCTTATTCCTCCAGCCCCCTTCTACATTTGACTCATTTTACCCTTTGAGCTTCTTGTGAGGAATCTGAACCATTCACAAGTCAAAACCGAAAGACGCTGGCAGTCATGAGTCCCCCAAGAAAATGTCCTGGATGACGAAATCAATCAGTCCACAAATCCTACTCATGCACACACAGCTTCTAGCCAGGATCTGTTTTGGGGGGTTTTGTGTGTGTTTCAGTGTCTGCACTTTAAATATGAACTGACAGCCAAAGGTCACCAGTTATTTAAGGAAATCCTCTAGGATAAAGGATAGAGACCAAAATAAACCAAAAGATAAGAGGTTGTTGGCAAAAAAAGAGACAAGGTGAAGAGATATTTTAAAAAAAATTATCACTAATATTCTGAGAGATACAACATAACAAATAATCAATAATACAAAAATAGCCTGCTACACAAAGAGGCATTTTCAGAGAACAGAGGTTTAAAAGATAAATCACTCAGAAAGTAGATGAAAAATAAGGAAGGAAAATGGGATAGAAAAGATTAGAAAATTAATAACTCAGTCCAGGAGGGCCAATCTTTAAAAACTTTGAGTTTCAAAGACAAAAGAATGAACAAACAAACAAATACAATAGGAGGGACTGTATAGAAAGAACAACAATAAAGAAGGATAAAGAAGGGGATGTAGAACTTTTTTCAATTTCCAAGTATATAGAATTGCAAGATATGAGTTTCCAGACGGAAAAGGCCTACAAATTTCCCAATAAAATGGATAAATAAGACTAGTCCCAGTACAAGTCATCATCAGATTAGAGACTACTGAAGACTCCCAGAAGGTTAAAAAATTCCCCCCCAAAGAAAGAGAAAAATAACACCAGCTCGCATGTAAAGGGTAAGAAATCAGAAAGAAAACAATGTCTCACTGTGTGGAAGTCAGAAGACAGTGGGATGTCCTTACAGCCAGGGATAAAAATTGTGTTTAACCTAGAATGCTACACAAACAAGGATAAAGGTATTTCCAGATGTGAGGACTTAGAGATTTTACCTCCTAAATACTCTTCTTTTTAAAAAAGATTTATTTATTTTAAAGAAACAGAGAGAGAAAGAGCAAACACGAGAGACTGCCTGATGCAAGCATGGGGAGGGGCAGAAGGAGAGAGGGAGAATCTCCAGCAGAGCCCCCCTAAGCATGGAGCCTGCCATGGGGTTTGATCTCCTGACCCTAAGACCTGAGCCAAAACCAACAGTCCGATGCTCAACCGACTGAGCCACCCAAGAGCTCCCCTCTTAAATATTCTTTAGAGGAGGCAGCTACTGAAATCAGTGCAGTGATAAGATAAAAAGTAAACTGGGGCACCTGGGTGGCTCAGTGGGTTAAAGCCTCTGCCTTTGGCTCAGGTCATGATCTCTGGGTCCTGGGATTGAGCCCCACATGGGGCTCTCTGCTCAGCGGGGAGCCTGCTTCCCCTCTCTCTCTGCCTGTCTCTCTGCCTACTTGTGATCTCTGTCAAATAAATCAATAAAAATCTTTTTTAAAAAATGAAAAGTAAACTGAGGAAACTAATTTAGAATCTAGAAATTAGGGGATCAAGAAAAAGAAAAGAACTGAAGTGAATTCCCAGGACAACGGTGAAAAAAGACAGGACAGCCAGAGAATGAGGGCTTGAGACTGAAATCACAGAGAAGCTCCAGGCAAAAAGTGGCCAAGAACAAAGGCTTGACAACATACAGACTATCTTATCAATATCAAAGGTGAAAAAGAGGAAAGTAGGAACCAGCAAAAAGTGTATAGAAAATTAAGGAAGCAAGGAAACAAATAAAAATAATGGTCAATCCCAGGTTGGGGGGAATTTTACATGGAAGGCCTAACAGTGTTTACTAAGTTATGATAACTGATACCAATCCAGTCAAAATTCATAAGAACACAATATTAGTGTGACATTAGGGAAAGAATGTGTCTCCACCAGAGAAAAAGAAATGAATGGAGAGAGAGAGTGGTTGGTCAAAGAAAACAAATCATTTCCATCATGGAAAATCAGTAGATACTCTTCAGTAAGCATCTACTAAGTATCCAGTAAGATACTCCTTTTATGAAAGGAAATGGAAGTGATTCTAAAAATAAAGATCTAAAAATATTGACTGTAGTTGGTTTGGAGAAGGAGAAATGGGGAAGGAAGTTATAAGTGTACTTCTCTCTAAAATTTCTAAAAGTATTAGAATTTATCTCTGAGCTATATAACTTTAACATAAATATAAAATAAAATAAAAATCAGTAGTGCTTTTGCTTTCGGCCTGTTATATAAACGATTAGAACAATCTGGTTTCAATCTTGGAAAATGAAAGCTGTTACTAGTGGCTCTGGCTTATTGTCTCTCTCTCTTTTTTTTTTTTTTTTTGATAGAGAGAGTATGTGCAAGCTAGTGGGAGGTGGGTGGGGTAGAGGGAGAGAGAATCTTAAGCAGGCTCCATGCTCAGTGCAGAGCCTGATGAGGGGCTCAAACTCATGACCTTGTGATCATGGCCTGAGCCAGAATCAAGAGCTCAATGTCAACTAACTGAGCCCCCGGGCACCACCACCCTCCACCCCAGCTTGTTCTCTTTGGGCCTTGTGATGGGGGAAGTGGTAAAGAATGTTTGGAAGACCAATCACTTTCTATTTTTCACAAGAAAACAGCCATACAGATAAATTGGTTAAGTACCTTCGGTTGAAAGTTTTCAAAGCATTTCTGAAATTTCACTGTCTCTTTCAAAGTCCAAAGTCAGACTGAATGTATGCTGACAACCTGAAACACATGAGCACTTTCCAGTTCATTTATCAAAGCTGTTCTAGACATCAAAACTATAGTCTACTCTCCAGTCTAAAAGATCATTGTTAGCCTCTAAAGAGTAAATAAAAGAGAAACAGACACACACACAAATAGAAAGAGAAAAGAAAAAGAGAAAGGAAAACTTTACTTATGCAATAGTTTGCTTACAATACCACCAGTGCTTAGGAAATTAGTTAACAGAATATTTTTCCTTGCACTAATTCAAACACCTGATCATCTTCACACTAACGACAAAAGCTTATTTAGCCTATCATAAATACCATTCACCTTTTCCTAAGAGTCAATTAGGTTTAACATTTCTTTTGAATTCTAAGGCGGTTTAATCATTCTTTTTATTTTTGGGTGTTGTGATTTTTTTTTTTACCTACAAAAAGGGAGGGGGAGATGTTTAGTTACTTGATTCTATTTTGTATCTTCTCCTAACTCCCCACTGCTTTGAAGACTTCCTGTTTGTCACACATTCCAATCTCCCTAAGGAAAAGTAGGAGAGCCTGCTCCCCATGCTTAAACTACAGCTATAGCTGGATTGTGTTTAGGATTTAAGATGGCACATAAGAACACAGAAGGCTATTTTAACTTTTTTTTTTTTTTTTTTTTTTTGGACAGAAAGAGATCACAAGTAAGCAGAGAGGCAGGCAGGGTGGGGGGACAAGCTCCCCGCTGAGCAGAAAGCCCGATGCAGGGCTCAATTCCAGGACCCTGGGATCATGACCCGAGCTGAAGGCAGACGCTTTAACCCACTGAGCCACCCAGGTGCCCCCAGAAGGCTATTTTGAAGTAGACTGATGGATTTTTTGATCCAGGAAGATAATTCGAAACTACATAAACAAATCTCCTCATTTTACGTATCAGGAATCTTAAGGAATAGAGAAGCTAGCAGGTGTCTTGCCAATAAGCTGGCCAAATTTCACACTCGGAGCAACTGGGCTGGATCAAGGTCTTTACTCATTTCAAGGTCTTCGATGACACTTGAAGAAAATCTTTCTAAATGAGACAATGGTCAAGCAAACATGGTAACTTGCCAAGTCATGGTGAGAGCAAATTCATCTAAGTTTGAGAGTTCTAAGATCTAAGAACCTTGGGACCTCTTGAATGCATGCTTTCTCAGAGTTTGGTGAGTACATGACAGCAACTCCTGTTGCTTTGCAAATGTGTTGCATTCTTCTTTTTTTAAAGATTTTATTTATTTGACAGAGAGATCACAAGTAGAGAGAGAGAGAGAGAGAGAGAGAGAGAGGAGGAAGCAGGCTCCCTGCCTAGCAGAGAGCCTGATGTGGGACTCGATCCCAGGACCCTGAGATCATGACCCGAGCTGAAGGCAGAGGCTTAACCCACTGAGCCACCCAGGCAGCCCCGTGTTGCATTCTTCTTAATTCTGGAGAAGAAACGGATCCTACCTGTAGTTCCGGATGTAAAAATATAAAGATGAGGAGACTTGAGACTTGAAGCCACATGGTAGCTGCGGGGCACGGGCCTGTCAGATGCTGTGCTTAGTTTTTCTTTGAGTGAAGTTATGCCCTGTGGAACAGAATCACTCATTCCCCAAACGGTGATACCTTCTGGGAGGCTTGGAAGGATTTCTTCTACAGTTTCAAGCAGATCTAAAAACCAGAGGTTAAGGAAGAGAGAAATAAAACATAAATCTCAAATCATTAACTTGTGTTTTCTTTTCTCTGCTGGAACATGGATAAATGTCACTATCATGCTGACTTCATCTTCATTGGGATAATTAATATCATAGCCATTTTATGATTCTGATTCAACAGGTCCAACTGAAAGGGAAATCTGGTTACCACCTGATGTAATAAATGCAAATAGGCTGCTTCAAATAAAATTCTGGAGACACCATTGTTCAGATTATGATTTTTTTTCTAATTTTTAAATGAAACTCTATTTTTATATTCTGCTTTAAATCTACACTCAGGATACCACAGTAAACATTTTCATTGAAATAGATCTCGGTAGCTCATTATTCTCCAAAGCCATCTATCAGTGTATCACTGATTAATTCTACCATAATGCAATACATTCAGGAAACTCTGCTGACCCCTCTGGAGTCCTCAGATCATTATGGTTTAGACACTGTTTCAGAGCCAAAAGTTAAGTGAGGAAATTTAAAGATACGCTTTTCTCTAGATCAGGTTATCCAAAGGTGAAAGTCTTTGAAAGCAAAAGGATGAAATGAATGCCTTCTATAACAGGCAACAAGGTCCCCGGGGTCTGGCAAGGTGGGAGCAGATTGAAGACAGCACAACCTCCATCCGCAGCAGTGTGAGATCCAAGAGCCACCTAGAGACAACAGCAAGCAAAAAGGAAAGCAAGAAGTAGAAAAGCCTGAAATGCGGGTGTCTTCAGGCCTGAAGAACTTGAGAATCTCACCTCACAAGACCAAAGGTCTGGGCTGCAATTCAGATTTCAGAAAGGAAAAAAAAGATACATCTCCCAGGAAGTCTCTACTGTATAGAAAACAAAAGAGCACCTGGAGAGGAGAGGCTATGTTGCATTAATTTGGGAGACTGAACCCAAACTTTTTCATTTGGCCATTAATGTAGAAGAAAACCTTATTTGCTCAGGAGGAGCTGGTAGAGAATAAGAGAGGCAGAAGGTGGGCGTGAGTCCCTGAGGAGGAAATATTTATTAAGGTATCCAGCACTCGGTAGGATATAAAAGAAGCAGAGCCTCATCATTCCCAGAGTCTTTTGTGTAAGCCAGTGAGGCCTCATAGTTTTTTCTAGAGTAGAGACACAGTTATTCACAGTCTCAAAATACCTTTAAAATTTAACACTCCCCTATTTTAATATGGATCTCTAACACAGAAGTTTGACTTTTATATTCCACAAAGGAGCTCCAGTTTCAGTGTGGTATTCCTCTAAAATGTCGTATTTGTCTAAGTTATAAGGGATTTCTGAGCACTACATTACTTATCTTAAAATCCACCTTACCATCCTTAGAAATACTAAGCGGTAATACCCACTGGATTTTGGAGTTAATGCAAGGAATGCCAGAGATTACCAGCAACTGCCAAAAGTTAGGAAGAGGCAAAGGAAAACTTTTTCCTAAATCCTTTAGAGGGAGTGTGGCCCAAAGGACACTTTTATTTTGGACTTCTAGCCCACAGAATGGTGAGGGTATAAATTTCTTTTGTTTTACACAACCCAGTTTGCAGGAGTTTATTATAGCAGCCCTGGAAAATTAATATACCACATCACAAGTTGGTGGATACAACCGTTATTATAACCTGTGGTTAATTATCCCTAAAATCTATACATTACCTCATAAATCAATTATGAAAAATGTTATTAAATGTAAAATATACCCTGGTTAAAAGCTCAAGTACACGTAAATATGAACCTTTCCATCCAAGCAATTATATTTTTTTCTAAATTTTTATCCAAACTTCAAGAATACTTACAAGATATATTCTGCTTTGAAGCTGAACTCGGTGTCCTGCATTAAACATTTTTCTGGAAATGGAAATCAGTATCTGGCAACCTCAAAAAGCCATTTGTCAGCCACTATTTAGTTCTACTATAATATAACACATTTGAGAAGGACTCATGACTTAGTTCCTCAAAATCTATAATCCAGACTGATCAGGAAGAAACAACAAGAGAAACACGTCAAATTAGACCAAGTAGTTCCCAAATAAAACAACCAAGGAAACACAGAAAATGATAAGTTCATATGCAGGGGGTAGGGAGGCAGACTGGGACTTGAACTTCTTTGAATTAATTTTTATTTCTGTCACAAATCCACATAAAATAAACTGTAAGAGTCCAGAGTTCCACTGAGTATATACAGCGTGCTGCTAGCTATAGATTGCTTCGGTAAGAAGTGAAAAATCACAGGGAATAGTGGGGGAAGAATAAGCCACAAATGAAAAAACAGAACAAACAAATGATCGAGACTTTCTATTTTCTTTTGTGTTGTCGTTGTTTTTGACGGGGTGGCCAGGGCAGGGAGGGGCAGAAGTAGAAGGAGAGAGAGAATCTTAAGCAGAATGCTTAACCCATTGAGACAACCAGGCACCCCTAATCTTGTTTTAATGACTCTTTCTGGCAATTTGAATGTATAAGTACAAGTCTCTGAACTGACTCATTTCATTATCTTCATTTCAAATTTCTTGTCTGGAATTGTAAATTAACAGCAAAAACTTAAAATGTTTGTAATGATATGTAAGTCTAAGTAGTAAAAAAAAAAGAAAAAGTGCAGAGAAAGTTATAATGTGATTAATTGTGGCTCCAAATCTTTTTTTGGAATTGTAGAGTCTATAAAGAAACACTCAATTTTTGGGACGCCTGGATGGCTCAGTGGGTTAAGCCACGGCCTTCGGCTCAGGTCATGATCCTGGGGTCCTGGGATCGAGTCCCGCATCGGGCTCCTTGCTCGGCGGGGAGCCTGCTTCATCCTCTCTCTCTGCCTGCCTCTCTGCCTGCTTGTGTGTACTCTCTCTCTCTGACAAATAAATAAAATCTTTAAAAAAAAAAAAAAGAAACACTCAATTTTTACAATGAGTGATGAGTTTTAGAAGAAAAAGGAAGTGAGCAGATTCCTAAGAATTAGAGGAAATACAATTTAGTTCCCTTCATAGGTTAAAATTTAATTGACTTGACTCAGCTGAGACATTCAGAATTCTACAGAATTTCATTAAATTATTTCTTCAGTAGTCCTAGGTAATGTGGTCGAGGATAATGAAAACTGAAATAAAAACTTGGAAAGTCTTGTAGAGGATAAAAAAAAAAAATGAAGATTTATTTATCACTGTCAATCTTCCTTAACAAAACGAAAAGGTTCAGTGCCATTTTGAAAGTAAATTCTGAATAGTAAGTCCTGACAAAAAATAGCACACTTTTCAATACCTAGAGGACACTTGGCTGTGGTTTCAGGAAGATTTACTCTTCAGTGAAGGGTACTACCATCAAAACTTGTCAAACTGTGAGCACCTCAAATGAATGTTGTGTGTTCTAACCCACACCTCTGCTCAGGGCACCTGGCGCCCACAGGCAGCGGGTGCGGGATAGAGATCGGGTTATGGAATTGAGCTCTGCCCATGAGATCTCCTGGAGTGGCAGGTCATGACAGAAAACTGTTGTAAGAAAATGAGACACCTGAATATTCTATGATCCTGAACAAAGTCTACCTCAAAGGACAAGGCTATAATGTAGAAAGCTTTCAACACAATAGGGTCTTTTAAGAAACACTTTTTTATTTCTCATATACACAAGGCACTTCATTAGATAGCACTGCAAGCATTAGCATCAAAACAGGTAAATTAGAGGGCTGCCCGAGTGGCTCAATCAGGTAAGCATCTGATTTCAGCTCAGGTCATCATCTGGGGGGCCTGGGATGGAGTCCCAGATTGGCTCCCCACAGTGCTGGGTGTCTGCTTCTCCCTCTCCCACTCCCTCTGCCCATACCCCACTTTCTCTCTCTCAAATAAATAAATAAATTCTTTAAAAAAAAAAAGGTAACTTATGAACTCCACTTATGATCCTCCAGCACTTTTTGTACCAATTAATTTGTTTCTACATCATCTTACCTCTTATTCACATTATTGAAAATGCAATGAGTAAAATCTAACATATCTCTCTACTATGCCATTTAGTATGAATCATGTTATTCAGCCTACATTAAAAACTTTTAAAGTTATCTTATTTTACAATGTTTTCAAAGGAACTGCTTGTAACTCTTAATACATTGGCAAACACTGAAACTTTTAGGCGTGAAGACAACTTACATGGAATTCAGGGACAAATGGTTACCTTGAACTTTCCACATTCCAAAGCAATAATCACACAGAATCCAAAATGAAACTGTAGATCTCATTTCATGCTTATAAATATCATCCTACCACTTAGAGAAGCTCAGCAAGTTTGACATAGAAAGCATGGGCAAGCTCTGGTTTCTAACAAAACTGATGCTTAAGTAAGCAACGTCCTAAGGCAATTCATAACAGGTTAGAAACACCCCTCACCATGAAAAATGTGCCAGCTATTCTGACAAATATTAGTTTAATAATAATCATTATAACTCTAGGAAGTCCACAGAAGCACAAGTCTTTCAATTGTGATAACATATTCTTCCCTGAAATGATTTTATTAGCTGCCCTGAATATATGTACATAAGTTTGTAAGTGGGCTTACGTGTTTTCACTCTCAGCTGTTTCGAGGGACAGAGAGCATATTTATTATAGGTAAAATTGTGTAAGAAAGTAAAAAGCAGAACACTTCATTTGGTTTTATTTCTAGCACATCTCCCACTGCCAGTGAATAATTATTATCCAAATGGGAACACACCGCCATGATGTATTTGGCTTGTTATTTTTCAATGGCAAAGTAGTAAAAACCAGTAAATGCACGGAAAGGCTCTCCAGACACAAACTAATCAGCAAGTAAACTATAAATTGGGAAAAGGCAATTCCAAGGTAGTATGTCTACAAGATTCATACACCATCAGAGTTTTTTTCTACATTCTTTTTTGGTTATAAATGAAAGAATCCTCCTTTTCTTGGCCAGAGAAGAGCTAACCATCTGGCTCCTAACTTGTCTGACACCATTCCAGCCCTAGCTGCTGAGGGTTGGGAAGAAGATATGGCCACAAT